CTCAAATCCTACTAGGCAATGTGAAATTCAAAGTGGATCTAATAATCGAAATATTATAAGCTATGAAATTGATTCCACAAATTGCCTCATCCACTAGTCTTAAATTAATTTCACAATATTGCTCTATCCACTTGTCTTTAATTGATTTGACAATGTGTCCTTATGTAATAGTCAGGTAAATCCAATAAATAAAATATTATTTCAACAAGCTATATAGAATAATATTTGGTATTCGTCCACCATTCTTATTCATGATATCATTATGTTTACTTATTTCTACACTTTCATAGGCATCTAGATGCCTGTTGTTGTTAACTTGTCTAATAAATCTTAATGAACTGAAGTCTGTGGAATGATTTGTTGTAAAATATGATGGGCGACTGCTGGTCGAATGAACGAAATCTTGACTTTTACAAAGGACAAAAACCAAGATGAATATATCTGAGTTTCATACCACCAATACATGAAAAACTTTGGAAATATTTTCAAGGAACTAGGTATGAAGGTGGATTTTGCAAATAAGTCATACATTACAGAGCCTTTTAGGAAGTCCAAAACACAAAACTCGAAATCAAATGTAAGGACTGCAAAATATTATGGACAGACAAAAAGATGTATCCAAATAAAATGTTAAGAAACAATTAGCATACTCAAAATATGAAATATGAAAGACCTGAAAAATCAGCTGTCGCCCATTATATTTTGCAACAAAACCGTTCCATAGACTTGAGTTCATTAGGATTAGTTAGACAAGTTAACAACAACATGCATCTAGATGCCTATGAGAGTGTAGAAATAAGTAAACATACTAATATTATGACTAACGATGACTAACTAATAGTATACTATATAGCTTGTTGAAATAATATTTTATTTATTAGATTTACCTGGCTTCAATATAAGGACACATTGTAATATTATTTTTAGACAAGTAGATAAGGCAAATTGTAAAATTAATTCAAGACACTCAAGACGAAGGTACCTAGAACAGATATCTATGGTATAAGTAAGGATAGCTTTGTAAGTATAATTAGTTTGATCTTCCTCTTGAAGATGATCACTTGGTAATCGAAACACTTCTCGAAATGTTAAAATAACGGTTTGGTGTCGGATACAATTTTCAGTAATATTCGTGAACATTGAATTATAGAAAAACACTTTTTTCTATTTAGTTGGTACTCCAAACATCTGCTATGGAATTGATTTAGAATGTTTCACATTGCTATCCATGGACTGACCCGTTACTTGAACAAAATTAACGATATCCATGATAATAATTGAACCATTTTCACATTTTTTTTTATTCTATACGCGTTTCGCTAATACCGTAGCTTCATCAGTAGTGATAATGAAGGTGCAGTGTTACCGAAACGCGTCTTGAATTGAAAAAATGTGAATATTATGGATATTCGCATTACTTGTGATGCACTGTTTGGAACCTTTGGTGTAGTAATGAATATTACTGGAGTTTTTTCCCAATACCAAACCATTATTTCAACACCTCGATACGTGATTCGATCACCAAGTGATCATCTTCAAGAGGAAGATCGAACTGGTTGATCTTGGTGTTCAAAACACGTGTCGAAGTGTTAGAATAACGGTTTGGTGTTGGAAGAAAACCCCAGTAATATTGATATGCACGATGTTTATTGTATAATTCAGTGTTCATATGAAAGTAACTGTTTTGAAAGTAATTCAATGTTTATATAAAAGTAGTCGTTAGAAAGGGAATTTTTTTTCAGTTTTTGTCTGCTTCGATAAGTTTGTTTGGGGTTGAAACGGACCCCAATATGTCTTGGAACGAACATGTCGTTGGAATTGCAAAGGCTGCTTCTGAAAAGCTTCATCAAGCTTAGATCAGTTCTTCTTTAGAGTTTTGTTCTCATGTACGGAGCTCAGCCCGTAAGCATAACCTGAAGCTGCTGGATTCCATCCAAGAAAGAGTCACCCATCAGATTGGAGACGCGAACATCACTTGCAACTTCACTAGTCTGGAACATCGAAGAAAGTTTGGAGAATTGTGTCTCTCCTATTGATACTTCCAGGGGAAGTGTTCAAGTGACTTTACACATTTGATTTCACCAAGAGCGGTATATACCAGAAATACGCAACGGACTGTGGCTGCTCATCGTTTCGAGGTTCATTTTAGTTCACCTCGAACATCACTGTTTGAGAACTCTTCCATTTGGAGAACTGCGTTTATGTGGAATCAACTTTCTGAGAACGTTTTTTCGCATAATATACACATTCACACATCTTTATAAACTGTTTACTTCCAACGAGTCGTTGATTTACAATAAAAAGTGGGTTGAAGACAATATGTATCCTGGAGGAACACCAGCGTTGATGGTGAAAGTATCTGCTCATTTTTAAAATATTTTCATTCTTTCATATGTTACTGTATAATTTTCAAATGCCACTTTGCTTTTTCAGTGTGGGATTCAAGTACCAAGATTCCTGTGGGACTTCTGTCGTATGATTCCAAAGAAATGGGAAACTTCATGGAATGTGTTGAGACAAAGTCGAAGTCGAATGAAGTATTTGGCAAATATTGCCTTGGAAGTATTACAGCTATTAACATATCTTGTTGCAATGCAACAAATAATAATTCCCCTAGTTTTGAAGTACAGGTTGGTATTGACCATATTCCGGATTTTTCTTTCGTGTATTGTACTTGATGAACATTCACAAAGAGCAAAATTGCACAATTAATTGACAGAAATAGAACTTTTGGTATATCACTACGTAGTTTAAAACGAAGTCGCTTCCCGCTGTCTGTCCTTATGTATGCTTGGATCTTCAAAACTACGCAACAGATTTTGATGCGGGTTTTTCAAAGGATAGAGTAATTCATAGGGAAGGTTTGTATGTATATAAAATGGTTTTTGATGTAAATAAACACATTTTTTGCGCTTACATTGCAAACGCTGGCTGAACCCGACGAGATATATCAAAAAATGTACTACAGTATATTGTACACTTCGAAAAGGCCTACAAAAAAGTCCGCGATGGGTTAACCCACAATAACCATTTTTTATCCTTAACTTTTAACGAAGCAATTTCAAGAGATTCAGCATTAATCGTTATCCAATTAAGTATCTTAAATACATTGTGCATTTAATATAACCCTATATGGTCCTCTGGAGCATGTTATTCAAATGAATATTCTCGAAGATATTACAGATTTAAAATGCAGGGACATGGTGATTGCAGCGGTAACGGCCGGGGGGGGGGGGCGGCGACGCGTGCCTATAAATAGCGCGTCGAAGGCCGCGCCAGAGCATATGTAACAAGCAACAACTTGATAAATAAATTACTGAAAATTCATAGTTGTGACATTTGTGTGAGGTATTCCAAAACAAATTGTGAATTAAATAATGAATCTCTGTACTGTTATTTCAGAGCATTTCAAAAGGGAACTCTTGACACATTCGGTAACGTAAGGATGCCCAAAAATGAATTTATTTATTCTATTTCCTCCTTGGAAGTGAACTTCCAAAGTAATTTTGAGAATCTTATTGTAGGAACAAATGTCATTGCAGAATTTGTATCATTGTTTGAACAATTCAATTATAACCATCTATGTGAAAATTTCCAAATATCTCACCTTTTGAAGTTACATAGTAGAGTAAGATTATTTTATACATCAAAATATATAAATAGGAATTTCAAATATAATAAAAATATTGTCAAAAATAGAAGGAAGAATAAAATAATAATTTGGAGACACGAATAAATGTTTTAAAATGAACAATTTGTATTTCTAGTATTTTCCTTATATAATAATCACCAGCTACCCTGGAAACCTAGAAGAATCCTAAGTGGGTACAATCCATTTGATATACACGGGGAGGTGGTGTTATGATAGCAATTAAATCATCCTATAACGCTACAGAAATCAGAGTTTCTGATTCTAATTTGTTTGAAGATGTCTGGGTGAAACTTAAGATCAACAACAAATGGATTGTATTGTGTGTCGTTTACTTTGTTCCTGAATCGTCTCTCGATGCATATCAAAGATTTGTTGAGTATATTACCGAGGTGAAAAGACATCACATAGGTGAAAATTTCATTATTATGGGTGACTTCAACTTTCCCCGAGTTACTTGGTCATATGAGGAACAAGTTTTGATTCCAGAGTATTCACCTGACCAGCGTGTAGAATTTCTGCTCGACGAATTTCTGCTTAACGAATGTTAAAGATAAAATTTTGGACTTAGTTTTCTCTGATGAAATTTCAATTGACGTAAGACTTTCTGATACTACACTGATCAATAATTTTCCAGCAGATGCATATCACCCTCCACTCCAGCTTAAATTAGATTTTGAGAATATGTTACAGCCTACATTCAGATATAGAGAAAAAGTGTTTTTATTTCATAAAGGTGGTGACGAAGGGCTGAATTGCTACTTAACTGACATTAATTGGTCTTCTAAGCTTAATTCGGAAATTGAGTTAGCAGATTTATCCTTTTATGAAATTTTATTTGAAGGTTTTACTCGATTTGTACCAAAGCGATATATAACTAGATCAAAGTATCCTAAATGGTACAGTTTTTTTCTGATTCAACTTATAAAAAAAAGAATTCCTTATTCAAGAAATTCAAAGAAACTAAATTTGATTACAAAGAATACTCCAAGTTGCGCAAGGAAACCAAGTATCATATCTACATATATCTATCTAATATAGAAAATATGATCCCTACTAACATCAAATATTTTTGGTCATTTTTCAATTCATTGAGGAAAGATAAAGGGTTACCTACTATTATGATATGTAATGGGTTAAACTTTGACACCCCTAAAACTATTGCCGATGCTTTTGCAGTACATTTCAAATCTTGCTTTTCGATTCATTCACCTGTTCAAAATTATGTACCAGTTCATACCAATTACGATATTAACACACCTTCAGTGAAGTGATAATTGAAAATAAATTGAAAAACTTTGATGTCTCAAAGGGCGCGGGTCCTGACGGAATTCCGTCAGTATTGTTAAGGAATTGCTGTCACAGTTTATCACATCCCCTTAAAATACTTTTTCAAAGATCATTTGATACAGGGATTTTTCCAAGTGTTTGGAAAAAATTTTTCCTTTCTCCAGTATTCAAAAGTGGAAACAGAAATGATATTCAGAATTACAGGGGTATCTCGAAAATTTCTTGTATTCCCAAAGTATTTGAACCTTTAATCACGTATGGAATATTCAATAATTTCAAACACGTCATAATAGATGAACAACATGGATTCTACAAGGGAAGGTCTACTGCCACCAATTTGGCTGTCTATCAAAACTTCATCACAAATAAGCTTGAGCAAGGGTTCCAAGTTGATGTATCTACACGGACCTTGCTAAAGCCTTCGATTCAGTTTGTCATGAACTTTTAATTTTAAAACTTAATAATCTTGGAATAACGGGCAGATACTTGAAATTTATTGAATCCTACCTTTCCGGTAGATCGCAGAATGTGAGGATAGCTGACAGTGTGTCAGAAACAATTCATGTAACTTCAGGGGTTCCGCAAGGTTCGCACATTGGTCTTATATTATTTCTACTCCTTATTAATGATATTAAATCAGTGTTTAAACACTGTAATATCTCTCTGTATGCGGACGACCTTAAATATTTCAAAACAGTGCAATCTACCAATGATATTGAATGTATTCAGAATGACCTAGATAGCTTTTGTACCTACTGTGATACTAATTGTCTAAAAGTTAACGTTAAGAAATGTTATGTGTTGAGATTCTATAGAATAAGACAGCCTGTCATTGGAAACTACTCCATTAATGATGCAACTCTTCAAACTGTCAAAAGCTTATGCGATTTGGGAATTACTTTCGATAAAGATCTAAGCTTTATTGATCATGTCAATAATATCTGTAATAAAGCATTCAGAATGCTCGGATTCATCAAAAGGAATACCCGGCATATTACAGAATATGATGCTATGAAGACATTATACTTTTCACTGGTTCGGAGTATTTTGGAATATAATAGTGTAATTTGGTGTCCTCTTTATTCTTGTCATAGAGAGAGGCTTGAAAAAGTGCAAAATCGCTTTTCTAAATATATAATTTGGAAACTTGGCCTAACCTACTTTGGATTTACCTCGCAAATGAGGTTGTCTGTATTAGATTCATTATCATTTGAGGACAGACGTAAACTTGCAATGGTTCTATTCCTTCATGAAATAATAAACTTCCACTACAATTGTTCAGCTATTTTAGATGACCTTTGCCTTTCTGTTAACTCAAGATCATTAGGAAGCAATCGCATTTTTTCATTTGGGTTGCGATTCCAGAAGACTAACTATGGCTCGATGGCAATAAGTTGTAGGCTTCAAAAAAAATTCAATACATACTTTTCAGAACTTGATCTTTTTCATTTGTCATATTTAACATTAAAAAAAAATGGCAATTAGACGACTTCATCATGAGATTGTTCATTAAACTTCTGAATAGTCGTTTATTATTTCTTTTAATAATCATAACTTATTCTAGTATTCGTACATGTCTTTTTTTTAATTTGAACTTAATGCACTATTTGACAAATGAAAATGCATACCTTTATTTAATATGAAGTAATAACTTGTCTCTAGGGTTTGTTTGCACATTGATGTAACATTTGGGACTTTGTTACAATTCTGTAATGTACTTGACATTGTTACGTTTTTGTTTCATAATTTATTTATTCATTAGTGTCGTATAGTGTTGTATGTCTTTAAGCTTATTTTTGTCTTTTTAATATTTTTTTTTATGTTCCATTTGGATTTTTAATAATAGTTTGTGATGTATAGGACTGATAAAAAATAAATAGGTTTATTTATTTTTGAGCAATTATAATAGTTATATTAAGGATTTTACTTGTTGGGTTCATAACTGAACTCTAATGCTTGACTGGTTTGAAACAATTGAAACTTTCTTGATGTACCATTTGGGATTTTATAACAATTCTGTAGTGTACTTGACCGATAAATAAATAAATAAAAAAATTAATTTTGGTTAGATCAGGGAATCTGGGTGGCCACGCCACAGGCCCACCCCTACCTATACAGTTTTGATTGAAATGACAGTTGAGGTATTCCCGTACTTCAGTTTTGAAATGTGGTGGTGAATAACCGTCTCAGTGTAGCCACATTCTAAGTCTTGTTCCATATTGAACAATATCCAATAAATTCGAAAACTGATGCCGAAGAAATCTTACATATTTTCTTCCAGTGAGATGCCCAGACACGCTGATTGACAAAATCCTAATTCTCTGCTCTGGTCTCGGGAACTCACATGAAGATTTCCAAGAAAGTGAAGAGCTATTTGAAATGTATTCTCTTCATTTGTTACAGGACAGACTTGTTCGAGCTTCTTGTGATTGACATTACCAGTTCTTTAAAATCTTGATTTTAGAACCTGAAATGCCCTTCCATCAGGTTGTTTTCTTTCTGGGAACTTCTTTTCGTAAATCTTAGATGCAAGAAGGCAGTTTCCGTCACTTTCCCCCAAAGCATAGACCATTTGCTCCATATCTTTCAATACATAATTCATAATGAAAATAATTCAATCAACACGGGAAAGAAACTTCAGCACATGGCGTTATTGACAAATTTCGAGATTCATTTTTTGATGTCAGTCATAGATATCTGAGTTTTTAACTTCACAAACATATTCGGATTTCTTTCTGAAATTGATTTACTAAACAAATTGTGAACAACCTCTCTTATCAAAATGTTATTTAAATTTGTAAAAAAATACTATTGTAAATGATTATGTTACGTATGTGTATATATATTTTTCTATGTTGCTAATACTAAAAAAAATGAAAAAGCACAACAATTACTTAAACTTGGTATAATCTGTGAAATATCAGTTTTTTGTATAGTATACCTTCAATAAAAATTCAGTGAAATGTTGAAACAGAAAAACAGGGTGTTCCATTTGAAGAAGTTGAATTTTGTCTATTTGAAAACAAATGAAACTTGATCGGTTTTACCGAGCACCCTATATATTGTTTTCGAAAGTTGAGAATCCAGAAATCATCATTGTGATGTTGATTAACTATTCCTAAAAAATACACTTAATTGATGTAGACATGCGGGTGGTGAATTAAAAAAATATTGTCTGTAAAATAGGTTTCTCTGGAATAACTTGACAATGTCGCAATGGAAATTTGAAAACAAAAATTCCTTTGAGAGCCTAAAAAATATGGAATCGAATGAGGTATTTATACACTTGATGTTCTATTGAAAAAATATAACTTTGGTTGACCACGCTCGGCTGCAAACAAAAGTAATCATTTCGAAAAATTGTTTCCTCTGATAGGAATGGACCGAGGGAATCTTGTTGACTCACCCTGTATATTTAGTATCAGCATTTCACCCGTGCGGAGCCGCGGCGGCACACTAGTATGGTAAAAATTTTGTCCCTCAAATCCTACTAGGCAATAGTTTTCCAATGAAAAAATAATTTCATTTTGGAAATATTACTTTTGCATTAATTTTTTTTTCAATTAAAATGAGCTAGTTGTCGTAATTATCTGGACTGGAAAATGAGTACTCGAAATTAATATGAATGATTAGGTTTTTTCAGATATTTGAACCTGAGTATCAATATTCATGTTTTATACGACACGTTTCAGCGTTCGAAAGCTGTGTCAACAAATGTCAGTGAATTTCCTCAACTTTCGCCTTGTGTTCTTAAATGAACGGATGAAATAAAATTCCGAACGAATTGAAAGAAATATATCTTGTTCACAAATATATTTCCTATAGTTGCAGACCTAATCCTGGTCCATCTAGAATCTAGATCGTTGAAGATAACACAAATCGATTATTTCTCAAGCTTGATGTGAAAAATGGGGTGTATCAGAATATGTACACATTTGAATCAGCTCAGCAAGTCCAACAACATTATTTGATCTCGTCCATCAGAACCAGAAACATGTTTCCTCTGCTTAAATGAGAGAAAAGGTGTATTATACTTTGAACATCCAACTTTATTAGAATTTTGAGTGAAACATTGAGTGACACAATTTCTAATACTGAAGCTGTATTATTGGCAAATTTTTTCCGTTTTATAAACAGCTGTCTCCAAGTGAATCATCAATGTATGACTAACAGTAATATTCACTCTGTTGGATATAAGTAAGCTCAGTAAAAAGTTAGGAGATGGTTCGGATCAACTCCCAAAGAGACAAACTTGAATCGTGAAATGCGCTTAGAAAATAATGTTGCACTCATGTTGTGTGGAATGCTATATTGTATCAGCACAACTATTTTTAAATATTTTATCAGTTCAGACTTCGATTGTCTAATATAATATAAATTGATTTGAAATTCCTGAAAGAATCTGTAAAAAATTAAAAAGATTAACCGAAAAATAACAATTTCATTAAACAAAAAACTGAAATAACAAAGAAATAACATACAAGCATCAACCAAAAAGAAATAAAAAAATTGAAATATTATTACAAGCTGTATGTTATTTCTTTATGATTCCAGTTTTTTGTTAATGAAAATTGTTATTTTGCGGTTAATCTGTTTAATTTTTTTTACAGAATCTTTCAGGGATTTCAAATCAATTTATATTATATCAGACAATGCAAGTCCGAACTGATGAAATACACCACGAAACATTATCAACCACCTTCAAACCAATATTAAATATTTGATGAAAGCCAGTACTGGCCACAAACCAGTTGAATCAAAGTTTTTTTATATTGATAAATTGCTGCTCATCATATTTCAGGTGCATTTGGAAAAACTCCTAACTCTAGCAGCTCCAGGATTCGAGTTATATACTTTCCCCACGTGGGCCATATGTATTCCCAGGAACTGCACAGACAGTGACGTACAGGTGATCATGAGTAACCTGCAGGAAGTAGGGGTTACTTTGGAATCCCTTACATGTCAGACAATTGATGATGTGTATCCCCAGTTGACAACAGGGGCTGTCATTGGTATGTAAGTATATCTACTGTGACGATACGGAAATGAAACATTTTCTTTTTATCGTTTTCAATTCATCGACAGAAATGCAGACTTTTTTAATTAAAAAAAAAGCACGTTTTCTTCAGCTAATATTTATGACGTTCAATACATTCAGTGATGATAATATTTTGTTCTGATCTCAATAACTTCATATCGAGGAAAGGAATTGAGTTATTTATTTCCTCTTCAATAGTGAATTGGATATTGAGATCATATGAATTAAATACATTCAAAATTTCTTCTTTTCCATCTGCAGGTATGGTCAGAATCAAATCATCTACAAAACGTTTGATGAATGGAATACGGAAAGATAATTTTCAATACATTCATCAATGAGCTCATCTGAAACAAAACTCGATAAAATTGGTGAAATGGTGGAACCCATAGGTGTGCCAAATATTTGTTTATAAAATTTGTCTTCAAATATAAAATATGTTGAATCAAAAATAAAATCTAAAATATTCATGAATGTAATTTTGTCTAATTCACAATGTTCTTCAATGTTAGACCAATTTTTGTTCAAAGTTTGTTTCACTACTTTTAACGGTAGGTTTGTGAAAAGTGAAACAACATCTAGGCTTATCAAAACATAATTTTGAGGAAGCTGAAAATTATTTATAAATTTACTAAATGAAAAAGAATCTTTAATATAATAAGGATTGTCTGTTTTATAGGAAGTTGTTGAAATATTCGTTGGAAATTTACAAAGTTTTGAGTTAGGTGCATCGATGGAAGATACAAATGGTCGCATGGATAAGGTAGGTTTATGAACTTTAGGTAACGAATAAAAACGTGGTGCTATGGAATTGTATATCATTAATGATTTAGCTGTAATATTATCTATTTTGTGACAATTTTTTAATTCTGTAACAATTTTGTTTGCTTTCTGTTGAGGTGTAGAAGTTGGGTCTGATTTTAAAATTTTATAGTATTTATAGTTTTCTAATAATTGTGATTTTCATTGATGTATTGGTCTCTACACATGGCGACTGTAACGTTACCTTTGTCACTATTCATGATAATGATCTCTGGATGTTCTTTCAGATATTTTCGGGTTTTATTATACAATTCATTCAAATAGTATTCTTTGTCATGATTTTTGTGTAGAAAATTTGTTATTATATTCGTTACTTGTGTTGTATATAAATCTTTTTAGTCTCATCGAAATTCTCCATTATATATTCCAAATCTGCTAATAGAGACGAAATGTTAATATTATGTTTATTTGGAGAAACACTGAATTTTGGGCCAAGGGATAGAAAATTCTGTATATCATTAGGAAAATTGATATCAGTTAAGTTTTTAAACCGATCTTTTTGAAATAATATTTCAGATAGAAAGTTATTTTTCAATGAATTGATTTTTTGAATGTTTTTATTTTTAATTTGATGGAAGTGGCGGTTATAATTTACACCTGACCTACGTTTAAATTCGAAAGCTTGACATATAACAAAGAGTTTTTTTTGTAACAGCCCAGCTATTGACTGCAACCTCACGAATTAAATCGATTTATAGTTAATCCAGTCACTAATTATTCTTATTATATAGCTTATTATATAGCACTCCCATATTGATTACAATTTAAGAGCCACCGGTAGACAGCTGTTTCAGCCTATTGGGCATCATCAGTTCGGGGCAGGCGGCGGTCATCGATTGGAAACAAAATAAGAAAAACCAAGAAAGTACTTGATAAAAATAGCTGTGTAAACGCAAGCGAAAAATAAGTGGAACCACCTATTGGTGTGATACCCAAGTCAACTTGCCAGTCATAAATCACTTATCGAGGAAAAAGTACAAATCAAAACACAACAAGACCTAACATTCAATATATTAAACAAATCAATACACACTCCTAGAAACAGTAAACCTAGAGAAGATCCAACACAAAGAATAATACCTGATGTAACCCAAATACAGGCAAATTCACCTAAAGAACGTGGAGTACCTGCATTGAGGCGTTCGGACATACAACAGGATGACACGTTCAGTTTGAGTAGAGCCTAGATGATGATAGCACGGCCAGCTGTCGAAAGCGCTCGCAGATAATTAAATAGAAGTTATGAAGCTTCAAATCCTCTTTGTGACCTACATTAATATTAAAATACTGAAAATTAATCCCATCACAAATTCTGTCTGTGATCATCTCAGAAAGAAACAATCTGCAGATGTTTCACGAAAACTATCATATAACCAATATTTATATAATATGTATTCACATTAATTTCAATAATTCATCTAATTTCAGAACAATTTTGAGCGTAATCGTAGCAGCTATAGGATTGTCTACTTGTTATGATGTATACTGTCATTTCCTTAAAAAAGGTAAGTTTCATTCTCCAAACAAGTACAAATTGTTTCAAAAATTCAAATTTCAAAAGGTTTACTATTTTTTCACGATATACCTAATTCATTTGATGGTTTCATTTCAGATGACTTTCAATCGTAATTCCAAGATTGATACAGTCACCTTCAAAAAATTGTTTATTGGTAATATTGAGAGGGTCTAGGTTAGGTAATGCATTTTCATGAGAAGTGAATGAAACATATCAAGGTCTAACTTTGAAGTAAACTACCGGAGAGAGGCTCGAATCTCATAGTCATTCTCAATGTTTCATATTTTGTATTCTACCAACCACTTATTCTTTATTGCTTTTGGATGCACTTATGTATGATTGTAATTTGTAATCTGTTTATAATTTAAATCTTTTATTTGTATTATCGAAAATTCGCGTGGACAAACTTTTCCTGACACCTGACTTGTTCTGTATTATGTGAGAAGCAGTCATAATAACTAATATCAAATAATCAACCATCATTACTATCAAATTGAGTCCTTTTACATGCTTTCATGCAGTTACTCACATCAATAACTATAATTATATTGACCACAAACATGTTTCATTAATTTATCTTATGAATGTATTTTTAACTATTCTATATTATGCTAGACATAATCTAAAGAACTGTGTGTTAGGAATCACACGTTGAAAGGTAAGACCTCGTTAGTCCTTAGCTCGTACAAGTTTCTCAACTTCTGAGAGTTGTCGTTCGTGTGGGGGCGATAGTTAATTAACGGAAAACATTTTTTTTTTCAACAGATACACTATTATTATTATGGCCGTACACATAGCTCAACGCTTTGTGACATCAGTCAAGGTCAAAATTGGTGGGGGATAGATGTTCATATAACGTTATTCATGTATATGCCCGAGACACATGTCACCATGTTGGCGACACATGTTGGTGACACCATGTTGGTGACACAAAGTCACCATGTTGGTGACACCAGTCAATAAAATGCCATTAATTACATCATGATGGTGAAGGGAGATTGAGAATCGACTGTAATCTCTCACTCATATTTCTTAACAAAGCTTATACGCGATTGAAAAAAATTATCTATGGTTTCTTTTCACGTTTTCATTCTTGTAGGACGACTGATATCCACAAAAGATAAGAACAAGTTAACTGTTTGGTTCCTAATCACTGATAGATTTTGTGAATAATACTCGAAGTAACTTTGAAAATTGAATTATGAAGTTTTGTTACTCTTCTCAGTTGATGTAAAACAACTCTTCTCACATTGTTTATGAAAATAATTATTTTAGATTTCGTCCAACAGATGTTCAGAGCCTTATCCATTTATACCAACAGTGGAAAAATCTTCCAGATGAAGAAAGAAAATTCTGGACAGATTGGTTGTCTGACTGGAATCAGAGTAATAAGTACAATTTGGATAGTCATTGGGCACACAAGACATTTTTATGTTTCTGGCCCCATCGTCAATTCGAAGGATGCGGTGAGTTACAAACTGAAGAAAAAAATTATGAAACAATTTATTGCCGACTAACAACTAGACAGAACTCGTACATACTAGAATTCTGGTGACCTCTAAGTAACATAAGGCATAGTCACAAGACTGACAACTGAATTTTAAATGAAATCGTTTTTTATTTTTTTTAAATTGAGTTCCTTCAAATCTGAGTTTCAACAACTTCTTGAAGTTTTACTGAATGAAACTTCTTTTTACACGTTTATATTAGCTTCACCTGTATGTATGTATGTTTGTTTGTAACTCTTCTTTTCCATTTGAATGCTGGGGATCTGTATTTGACAGAATTATCGACATTATTGCTTCATCTATTCGCGGGCAGATGGCGCTGTACGTAACCTCCTGGATATAATTCGAACTCACTTTACATGCATTTCTTCATTTGTTCTTCATTTATTAACACACGCGCCTGCTGCCTTCCTTGGGCTTCGTAGCTGATTTTCAGGCTCCCTCTCCGGAATCCGAAAATATCAATGGTCATTTTTTCTAAACAATATACGGCTGAAATGAAGTTGAAAAATACTAAAAAGCACGCTTTTATAGCATACGAAACTAAAAAGTGAAAAATAAATATACTTAGTTTGAAAAACTAAAAAACACGCGTTGAAGAATATCGAACAAAAAAGTTGAAAATATTTTTTTAATAAGCCTAAAACGACAACGAACGAAAATGAAAATATTATTGTGGAAAAAGCGTGGGCTCTTTGTGCCATTTTTTTTGTATATCAAGCGCTCATCGCTTCTTTCACAATAATACTAGAATTTTTCGTTCGTTTTTTAAGCTAATTTGAAAAAATATTTTTAACTTTTCAGTTCGATGTTCTTTAAAAACATGTTTTTCAGTTTCATAAAGTATATTTATTTAAATTTGCTAATGCTTCGTTGAACTATTCCATTTTTTATTCATGTACATTGAATATATTTATGTTTGCTGTCCATTTTCTGTGTACCTATCTATTAGTTCTAGCAATTCAACAATCGAGTGGTTTTTTAGTCATTACGGGTCGAATCGTTCGGAAACAATGAAAATATGTTACTTCCTTATGGATTTTCGCGATATTTGCTGGAAACAAACATGATGACAGAAATTCCAAAATGAATTTGTTCTCGATATACTCGTATTTATGATATACCAGTTGTTGCCCGCGGCCTCGCCCGCATTGAATTTGGTTTGTCACATTAAGTTTCGTGACAGATCATGTTAAACAAATAGTTACAATATTTTCTTCTTAACCGAAAATTTCAGGGCTGTACGTCGTTCGGGTCGCGTTCTCGGCGATGGCGCTTCATTGCTTAGACCGCACCTCTACCCCCGCGCATCATCTTCCGTCGTCGTACAGTAGACCCGACGCGCAATGGCTCACTGCGTATCGTCAAGTTTCTATCATCGTGATTCGTACAAATCACTCAGTGGAAAAAAATATTATCCATAAAAAAGGTATCCAAAAAGGTATCCAATTAAATTGTATTTATTGTTCAGTATTTTGCATACAGTGGCTACCATATAAGAGGTAGATATATGATAAGATAAGATAAGATAAGATAATATTTATTGACCAAAACGCGATACACTTGGTATATGTGGTAAGTCAGGGTATATATTTAAAATATGACATTATGAGGACCCCAAGTCAAATAATCAAATGAGTAGTACATTCAGTGAACTTACATCGCAGTAAAAACATTTGGAAAAATACCTTGTATAAGAGATTGGTTCATAAGGTAAGTTAATGGTTTAATAATTGTTGGAATGATTTTCTTGAGAGTGATTATAGAGAGTTCATCATAGCCTGCAGATTTTTTATTTTTCATTTCAGACAGAGCGCTTAGTACCTCGTATACCGTTAGAGGGTTGGATGAAAAAGGTAATATGGTACCAACCAATTTAGGGGTAGTACAGGGAAGGGATAAATTTTGTCCAAAGTGGTGGAATGCGGCATTTTCTGCTCCCATTGAAAAATTATTAGCAAATAATTCAGATACTGCAACAGGCTCCATTATATGTTCATTATCTTGCTGGAGAGAGATCGTTAGTTTCAACCCATTTTTATTTCTCCCGAGTTCATTGTTTATAATGTTCCACGTTTCTTTTATTTTGTTTTCGGACTCACCTATTTTTTTACTAAAGAACTCTTTTTTTTGCCATGTTCATTTTCTATTTATGCTCTATCAATTTTGTTTTATAGCTTTCGAGAAATGTTGGATCAGCTTCATGACAATTGGACAGAAGCCAAAATAGATTCCTCAAGTTCTTTCCTTCCTCAATGATTTCCGGAGATATCCAACATTTATAGTTCTTTTTGCCGCATGCTCTCTTTTTTGGGCATGATATATCAAAAAACCATAGAATTGTATTGATGAAATAGTTGAAAGCATCATTTAACGTCATGAGGTAAATTAGAGTCCAGTCTTCACTTAGAAGCTTTGTTCGGAACTCCTCAATATTTTCATTTCGAGTCTGACGTCTCAAAACTGGAGAGGTATTATTAGGTTTTTCAGTAATATTCCTGTGCTGGTATACCAATACATGAGCTAGATGATCGGCTATATTAGGTTGAACTAGTTTACATTCATAACTAGATTGCGAAAGACTGGTCGCCATATAATCAATACAGGTTGAACTCCTATGAGCGTTTCTATTGGTGAATACTGTGAATACTGTGAATACTGTAAAATCAAGTTTTTGATATTCGAACTTTGTCAAGTTGATGGCTCTGTATGAAATCTCGTCTTTGAGAAATGTAACTTCCAGTCCATACCAACATACTCTTGGTGTTGCATATTTCAAATAATTCTGCCTGAATTTCATCTATAAATTTGACAAAATGATAGCATTTGTGGTGGTTTGCTCAGTTCAACCGTCAGAAAATTTACATTTGAAAAAATGATTTCTATTGATCAGCTTTAAAGGAAAACCCTGTATATTCCAAACTATTTTCAAAATAAGCAACGAAGTGAACCGTGCAACTTTCATCTGAAACATTTCATCATATTCCTCATTATAAGCGAGGTACTGTAGATCCTCACACTATTGGGCCACCCTGTATAATAAAACCTACTTTCGTAAATCACTCACATATAATTCCACCATTAGATTTAGACAATATTCTACCGACCATTTATGCATTTATGAATAATCTTCTATTCTAATTTTTCATTCTTTTTTACATTGTTATTATGTGAAAATGAATTTTATTATTATCACTAATACTGTTTGAATTCTTTTAGGTGACAGACAACTTTATTTTAATGAAAGCAGTTGCGGAGCACGTTCATGCAGTTGACACATTTTTGATGATTGGTGGAGTACTTGTAACATATGTATTTTTCAAGCAAAAACGATACGAAAAATCATTTAAAATTGTTGGATACTACATTCATAGATACGTAAGGTAGAGTTGAAATAAGTTATGTGGGTGAACTCTTTCACAGTTAGTCTCTCATTATTCATAATTTATACAGTGTATTCCATTTAAAACGAGCCCCCCTGAATAACTTTTGGTACAATCATTTTCAGAAAAAATAAAAAACACGTCAACAATAGTATACAGGGAGGCACATTTTGACATATTCACATTTGATGTTACTTCCCTTATCGCACCCCAGAACATGTCACCAATTTTTTTTAAATGGATCACTCTATATTGTTTTGCTTTATCAGATGCTCTAAGATGAGCGGATTTCAACAAAGTATAAAACATATGTTCTGAAGCTCATGGTTCGGAAGCTACAAATTTTGTCAGTCGAAAACTAGTCCCCCTGAATAACTTTTAAAACAATTATTTGCAGGAAAATAAGAAAAAACAGGTCAATAATTTTGAAATATTGAAATATACGTTCTAGAGACAAATATGGAAGCAATATATCAGAAAAAGAGATTTTTTATTATTTCTTGAACCAAAATCTGATGACTGGAAAAATTTTTCTATAGTTAATGTCAAAAACATTTCCAACAACTTTCATACAATGGTAAAAACGAGCTTTCATTATTACCCTCACATGGTTGAGAATCTCTGGAGTTATTTCTCTGCAATGCCTCTCTCGAATCTTCTAATGTTGTTATTTCTATCTCATACACTTTAGACTTTAGAGAGAGATCTATAAGAGTGAGTTCTGGAGATATTGGTGGCCCTTCTGTAGAACCTCTTCCGCCAATCCAGTGACCAGGAAAATGATCTTTAAAAAATTATCGCACTAGAGCTGCATAATGAGGAGGTGACCCATACTGCTGAAAAACTATTTCGTTTGCTCGGTATTATTCAGTTCTCCAACATATCCAAATATTTATCACTATTCAAATCATCATCGATGAAAAAAGGTCCCGTGATGTGGTCACCTAAAATTCCTGCCCAAACATTCAGTTTTTGAGGTGGTAGGGTATGAACATGACATACATTCATCTGAAAAATAAATTTTATACAAGAAATTCTGATGCAAGTTGATCCGTTCAGTGAGACTTTCACAAAACTCGATGAGTCTATGGAATTCATCTTCGTTCAATTCATGAACTAGTCTAATCTTATATAGATGAAATTTGTACTTATGAAGGATCATGAAAACATTTGTACTACTGATTCCTGATTCTCGAGATAACTTAGTAAGAGATTGCGAATTTTCATCAGTCCAACGTGCCCTAAACTACAGTACGAATAGCTTCATCGTTGACAACTCCTGAACGGTTATGCTTTTTTTTTGTTAACAGATACAGTTTCCATAAATTTGTTCAATAATTCAGAAACGTATTTGTATCGTGCATTTCTTTCTAGATAATTATCATTAAACATACGGGCAGCAGCTCTAACACTATTTCCATTCCGGTAGTATAAACTCACTACTTCAATCCGTTCTCAAAGCGTATAAACCATTGCTTCTCAAGACTTCACAAAAACAGAAACACCAATTGCAACTTCACCTGGTAGGTAATCCTTATTGTAGTATGAGACAAATGCAAAATAAAGATAATATCGAATTCAAACTCAATTAGGCAGAATAAGACTTTTTTGAAGTATGCTTCACAAAAACACCAATGAAACCAAGTTAACAGATTATACAGAAGTTCATTCAGGGTGGCTCGTTTTTAACTCAAATAATTTCCAGCTTCCAAACCATGAGTTTCAGACCATAATGTATTTTATTTTGTTGAAATCTGTTCATCATGGAACATCTGATAATGCAAAAAAATTGTGACATATTCTGGGGGTGCGATAGAGAAAGTTAGATCAAAATGTATACTGTATACCTGTATACTATTGTTGTTTTTATTTTTCCTGGAAATCATTGTCCCAAAAGTTATTCGGGGTGGCTCGCTTTCAACTCAAATAATTTGTAGCTCACGAACCATAAGATTCAGACCATATGTTTTATAATTGGTTGAAATCTGCTCATCATAAAGCATCTGATAAGGCGAAACAATATACGGTGATCCATTTAAAAATATTGGTGACATGCAATGGTTACGATAGGGGAAGTAACATCAAATGTGAATATGTCAAAATGTATCCCCCTGTATACTATGATTAACGTGTTTTTTATTTTTCCTACAAATCATCGTACCAATAGTTATTCAAGGTGGCTCGTTTCAAATGGAGTTCACTGTATATTTCTGTGATAACCTGGGTAGAAACAATTTTTTCCACACGATCATGAGTATTGAAAATATTTTGAATAGCGGGACCAAATAATAGGAATAACTTTGTTGAAAGAATAAAATGATATCATGGAATGAAGAATGAACAATGAGAAGGAAATGCAAAATTTTAATATCGACAATTTGGTAAGAAAACAAATTATTGTGAACTGAAATTGAGATGAATAAATGAATGAGTTGAACAATAAGTGAAATTTCATTTGATAAATCGTGCAGTAGTTTAAATTCTAATATATACATCATTCCTTCTTTTGTACCTATTTGTTTGAATTTTTGCAATTATTTACTATTTCTTCATCTTCATTTATTCATTAATCTATTCATTTGTTCTGGCTTAAATTTCATTATTGTTATACTACGGGTTTTTTGCTCATTGTTCAACTCACTCATCATAATCAATTATTATTTTCACGACCTAGCTTTTTCACATCTTTGATTTTCATATTCATTGCCAGAACCTATATTTTTACCGTAGAAGTGGCGATAAGAAAGAACAAACTTCGGTAGGGCGTAATTGAATATAATTTGTAGAACTAAATGTTTTCTTTACCACTGCGGTAGATATTATCCGTGGTATATGCGTTGACTACGAAGGCGAACGTTATTCTTCGAAGTCTCAGCAAGGACTGACTTGTTTGTTCGCATACTCATTTTGTTCTCAACTTTTTTTTTCAATCATCTCACTTTTTTCTACGAATTCCTCCAAATTTTTCTCGATCCAGGTATTTTAGTATTGTCAATATTTCAGTTTCATTTTTTATTTCTTTTCTCATGAACCTGTTATCACTTTTTCAGACTATGTCTTTCAATCGTCAACGACTTTCAAACATTCATTTCAATTTGTTAAATATATTTTGAAACGGAAATGTCAGATGTTTGTGTCATTCGATTGCTATTTCTGGCTCAAACTCAAATTCGGAATATTTCAGTACGCTCATTTTGATGTAGTAAGCACGTTGGTCTCTCTCATCGAATATTTCAAAGAAATTAGTTTTTGAAACACTAATGCAATTATGTATGGTTTGTTCGAAGTCAATTCGAATGGAATAAAAACTAAATAGTTACCGAACGTCGGCAGTTTATTTGTATGGCTTGGGCGGCGTGTTATTCATACGAAATCTAATCATTATTTTCATGTGGGAGGTTCAATAAAGTTACAGTTGGTAAATTCATCCAAAATTCAAGAGTCCTTCATTGAAAAATTAAAATATCACATCCACATTTAGTTGTTCATCACATGGTGAAGTTTAAAGAGCTTCTTGTTCGTTATGGACGCGCCCTCGCGCCCCCACTGGAAGAAGGCGGTGGGAAACGACCCCCGCGATGGTATCGGGTTACGTTCACTAAGAAATGTAGACTTCTTCCGTCTGTATTATCCGTGTGCCTATGATTGCCTATGGTGTTCATAAGCCTTTGCACACCATTTTATGTAATCGATGTTATTTTCGCTCAAACATCGTCACCGCTATGTTTGTCAGCAGGATACTATCGAAAAAGTTCATGAAAAACGAGGCCAGAACTATAGATACGAGTTTTCAAATGCTAGGTTTTTCATGAACTCACAAGCGGTCTTCTACACACCGTTCCTGAAACATTTTTGTGCACTCATATATCAGTTCACCGGGTCCATTAATCTTTCACTTAGGTGTTCGAATTGACTTCGTACATACCACACATACTTCATTTTCTTTTCCAGATTGACTTCTCCTTTAGCAGGCTTAGTATTATTCAGTGCAACCCTTGTGATGTATACTGGATCAGGACCTCTTTGGTACACAATTATTGAGAGATTTGGAAACAACTGTTCTAAATACTGGTGGTCAACTTTATTGTATATTCAGAACTACTATAACGTAGATAATATGGTGAGTTTCCACAAATTCGTAGAAACACTCTTTTTATTTAGCAAATCAATTCATTTATCAACTTATTTGTTCACTACGAGTTTGTGACATTTCATGTGTAGATTATCACATCGAGAATTCAAGTAGTTTTTGCTAAACTCTTCATTGCGATAAGATTTGTCAAAAATAGTTATCTTTGAATAATAAAACTTGAGTATACTTTTTCATTCTGCTTTATCAGTTTTTCTAGTCATTTCGAAAACTGGCCGTGTGGTTTTCTGGAGTTTAAGAGCTGTGGAACGACTATGATCCTCCCTTCTTCATCCTGCTCCTGAGATGTGGAAAATACGGTACTGGAATGCTTCGGGGCCAGAATTAGTGCTATTGCGAGCCTCTTCTTCAACTCTATGAGAGTTTGCCAGTATTCAGGAATGTCATTATCAGAGGAATAATGATTATGACGATTCACTCAGTGTTTATAACTTTTTTTATGTGTATAATCGAAAGACCGATTGGTCTTTCTTAGGTCCTGTATAATTTTCGAAAAAAATATGTTCAGAAATAGAGTTTTTCTTCTGATATATCGAATACTTGAGGATTGAGTTGTGTGCAATGGATTTGATATATTGGGAAAAAAATCAATCAATCGGCCCACCATTCATCACTCAATGAAACTTTTCAGTTTTATAGCGATATGAGTTTTATAGCTATAAATGTGATATACATAACAAAACATAATATTTTAGAATTCCTTTTTGAAAAAATGAAAAGCGGTGCATATATTTGAAGAGTGTTAATCACAATTTTCAATGTGGAAGTTCTACAGCTGTTTTATTTTTCAGTGCCTACCACATACCTGGTATTTGAACGTCGACATGCAGTTGTTTCTAATATCGCCAATTATATTATACCTTTTGAAAACACGACCCAAAACAGCGATTACGATATTGGGATTCGCTTCTTTAGCATCGATCTCTGCAGGGTTATGGTCGGTTCATCAGTTGGTCGATAAGAGCAATTTAGGGTGAGTTATTAATCCACTGTTACATCATTGGTATTATGTTCAAAAGGAACGCAAAATTATATTGTATGACCACAGATGGAATTTTGTGAATATTCAAATTCAAAAAAGGGATACTAGTGTATAGTCATGAAGTTGAAGTATCACACAATGAAATCAACAAATGAAAGAAAACAAGATCACGACATATTTATTCATTCAACAGAAAATTTGAAAATGGAAAATTGAATTATTGGAATATCAAATGGTGAGAATCTCAATAGACGTACCTGAGAAACTTCGAAAGTCATATTTAGAGGCAATCATCAATATAATTGATACAAACACATATGAAGTAAGTTTCATCAGTTCAGACTTTCATTGTCTGATATGATTCTACTATGATTCGTAGTAGACGAAGACGATTGTGGATACTTACAATCGAAACGTCGTGAAGTAACTTGGTTTTTCAATTTTTCAATTTATTTTTAATTTTTTCTCATTACAATTTTAATTCTGTTTTACTTCTTTCTACTCTATAGTCATTTTCATTTTGTATCTTGTATCTGTCATAGATTTTGAATTATAGTAGAATTATATTGGACAATGGACGCCTGAACTAATAAAATCCACCATGAAATATTGTCAACCATTTTCGAACACATATATAGTAGTTTACAACCGATCAAATGAAGAAACCATAAATAATATCAAATGACTTATTCCACATGCTAAAACTAGATCTTTCTTACCATGCGCATCAGAGTTTGCATCACGAGTAGATAACTAAAACTTTCACAATTTATATTATTCAGGAATACTGACACTTTCATTTGAAAAATGTTACTCTATAAATTGATGGAGTCTTATAAAAAAGGAAAAGTCCTATAATTGAATCACTACATAATAATAAGAATGAAGATTCCCATTTGACATTATAAATAAAAGTAAAAAAAATACAGGATTGTTCAACATGATGAAAGAAGGTCAGAAATCAGATCTGTTATTTTTCCGAACAGAAAGTGCATAAAAGAGTGTGAAAATCTATGTGGTATCATAGTTATACTCAAATATAAGAGATATTGACAGAATATATAATTATCTACCAAAGAATTAATTTTTTTCATTCTATTGTCAATAGAATTGTCTCTGTCAAAAATGTTTCCAAACTGGGCTGAGTATGACGTACTTATGTTTTCTATATTCCATACATAAGTGGCAGTGGGGGGGGGGTTGATAAATTTATACCTCAAATACTTTCTGATGACTTTGGAAAAAATTTAGAATATTCCCAACTGTAATAAAAAAGCAGATTATTCAAAAGTTCAATATTTTGATTTGCTGAGATCTTACTGTCTAGATTTCTATGTTTTTTGGCCAAAATTGTCCCATGGAGGCAAAGTTTGACCACCTTTTCCAGTGAATCAGCAAATTAGAAAACAATTTGATCACTGCCTCTCCCAGTCACATATACCATAAGTTTCACAGATCACATTGAAAATATACCACGAGCAGAGATACATAGACAAATATAGATTTAAATAATAACTTCATACATGTAGTTTTACTGTAGACAATCTTAAGAAAATGAATAAATACATATTATTTTTGTGAAAAAAAGTTTTTGGCTTTCTACTACTTCATCTCGATACAAAAAAAGATGAGGGAATCTTCCAAAGAAATGAAGGGAGTAATCAATTTGAAAATAAGTAACTCTATACATGGATGTGTAGATCATGCAAAGAAGTAATTTTCAGACACAAACTGAAAGAAGGTTCTCCTGAAACAGCTACTTTCATATAGACATTAAATTACACGGAAGAAAAAAATTCTTTCGAAACAAATACTTCTATATGAACACTGAATTATACAGAAGATTCGTTGTGGAATAAAATCAGATATCATTCACATGAGTTTTACTTTAAATGAATGGTAACGAATTGCACTTACATGGAACATTGTCATCCTCACTGGTATACATCTATGTTTCGCCGAAAGACACTTGCCCTAAGGCTCTTCAGTATCAAATTGGATACCATTATAGGAAATACATACAATTCATTCATGAATTACGATTTTTAATGTCACGGAATGAGCTTGATCTGCTTATGTCATCAATGACATCGTAATGACATTCATTCATCTATTTGATTTAATCCCAGCCACGAGGAATCTTATTTCAATTGAAGGGGTTACATTTTTAGGAGTGATTAATTTTTGGGAAAGAAAGTTTTTGTCTTTCTACTACACCATCTCGATACAAAAAAAGAAAGGAAGGAAGTAATCAATTTCAAAATAAGTTACTCTGTACATGGATGTGTAGATCATGCAAAGAAGTAACTTTCAGACACAAACTGAAACATCGATGTATACCAGTGAGGATGGCAGTGTTCCATGTAAGTATAATTTGTTACCAATCATTTGAAGTAGAACTCATGTGAATGATATCTGAGTGATCGCAACTTTTCTCAGATCAGTTACACTGCTGTATGAAAGTATAGGGTGAGATCAAAACGGCATTCACATCTGATAAATAAGGTTTCGCTGTGGCTATTGTGCTGAATAAACTCGGTTTCAATCTTTAGATAATCATTATCCGACAGAATGTTGCGACTATGATATTCACCGGACTTCTAACTTACTAAGGGTTCAAAGTCCAGACAAGACGTCTATCAAAAATATTAGAGAAAGGAAACGGTAAAACAGAAACAGAGCCCGGTCAGTTGTTTTCACGAATTTTTGTGGCTCACTGTGCTTTTTTTCAGCGACAGTGATCCATTTCATCTATTTATCAGTTTCTTATGCCCGTAGTCATCGCACTAGAAAGCATTACTCCCCAATTTTCATGATTGAACAACTCAAAACACAATATGACATAATAATCTGTGTTCAATTGTTCCGATCATGAATCTCTACTACATCTTGAATAGTTTTTCACTCCTATATAGTTCTGACTACTCTCTAATAAAGTATAAGTTTTTGTGAACAAAGTGACATAGATAATAAATATTGTAGAAGTAGTGATTTCACAATTCGTTAATTTTATTTGATTGCTTCTTCTCTCACTAGTGTCTCCTCGGAAGTCTTCTTCAATAACTACTATCTGAAAACGCACTCTAGGGCAGAACCTTGGCTGATAGGAACGATTTTTGGATACCTATTTGCAGGAGACTTATTGAAACCCAGAAAGATACCAAAGGTAAATTGGTTTTGAGATTTCATTGTTTATATAGAACAAATTATTTCATCGTGAATTTTTGTTGATAACTAGTAAGCTAAATGCAAATAAAAATCATCACTTTTCACTTCAATTACATATGAGAACAAAATTCAAAGTGGTGCATTCTTAGGAGCGATACATTTCATGGAGAAAGGGTTTGGCTTTCTACTTCTCCATTTTCTCACAAATGTGGGAATGTTCCAAAGAATGGTTGAATGAAAGCAATCAATTTCAATTCAAATTCTACACAAAGATGTATAGATCATGCAAAGACTATTTGTCAGACACAAACTGGAAGAGAGAAACCTCTTGAAACAACTATTTTCATATTAACATTGAATCACAACGAAAAAAAAGTACTTTTGAAACAATTACTTCTATAAGAACATTGAATAATAGAGAAAATACTTTCTTGTATTCAGTTTGTACTTAAAACGTTCGTTAATTATTGTCTGAAAAACAAAAATTCTAATTGACGAAGCGTATATGTTCTGCCTGCCGAGTACTATAATTTGTTTGGATGGTTTTAAAGCTATTCATGTGTTTTCTTATCCGATATGAATAATGCTACTACTGTTCTATCTTGCGCTATCTCACACTTCCAGTCTGAGTTCCCAATCACTAACAATTCATAGATACAACTCAGTGTGAACGATCCTTGTTCGCATTTCAATACCATATAATAATAATAATATTGTTTATTTTTATTGACATGATATTGGAACAGACACACAGACATAATGTATACATAAAATCAGATTAAATGATAATATTGGTAGTTTTGAACGTTATAATAATAACCAGGCCATCCGAGTGTCATAACTCACGTTATCTTTTTGCTCATGAATTCTGATATGTCATAGAAAGTTTTTAAGTTTTATTTTGAAAACATTAACGTTGTCTTCCAATCTTATACAGGCAGGCAGATGATTTGGAAATTGAATTCCTCTGTAAATTGGGCTTCTCTCATACAGACTAGTTCCATGTTTAGGAGGCCTAATAAGTTTCGAGGATCGAGTTGGGTAGCCGTGACAATCAGAGTTGGGAGAAAAGTTATGATAATTACTTTTTGCCAATAGAATGGATTTGTAGATGTAAATGGAGTAAAATGTAAACATTCCATGTTCTTTGAAATGATTACGACATATTTTACTATAGTCTAGGCTGAACATTAATCGTATCCTCTTTTGGGAGACGAAGACCCTGGATGCTGGAAGACCCACTGCACCACCCCATATAATAATATTATATTATCAACTGATCAAAATTCTCAAATAACGAGTTGAAGAAACAGTCACATCGAATAACGAGATCTAACCCTATTTCAGTATTTTACAACTCTGTTTAAAAAAATCTGTTTTCCCGTTAATCAGTATATTTCCTGATGAGTATTGTAGATTACGATCTGGAAATCTGGTATCGAATGAAGAAGTTGCTTAGTTTCTGTTTTGGCTGGTTTCCAGGTTCTGTCGTGGTCTTTTATGGTTATAATCTTCAAACGTTTCAACTGCAACTACGGCAGTCATCTCTAGTGGTGTGGTCGAAGTACTCTTCTTGACGTATCAACTGATACGTACCAACTGACGTATCATCTGACATATCAACTGACGTATCAACTGATACGTATCAGTCGATTCGTATCAGATGATACATATCAGTTAATACGTATCAGTTGATACGTATCAGTTGATTCGTCAAGTGATCAGTTGATACGTATCAATTAATACGTATCAGTTGATACGTATCAGTTGACATATCAAGTGATACGTCTTGTGTGTTTTAATCGTATACATAACTCAATCGAATATAAAAAAATACATTCTGTTAAACCAGACTTTCCAGATGTATTTTCATTTTTCAATTATGTTCATGGAATAATTTCTGAACCGCTGGTGTATGCTCATATGTTCTCATATTTTCAAAATCATTTCCTGACGGAAAGTAATCAGAAATTTTCAATTGTTTTGAACTAGTTTTTACGATTTCGAAAATAATTTTGGAATGTTCATAATCACTTTATTTTTTTACAGACTTTATTGATACCTATTTGGGCAGCCTGCTTCACGGTGATGACAATGTGCGTATTTGGAGATTACTTTTTCTCAAATGATTTGAAAAACTCATTATGGAACGTATTGTTTGTGGTTCTTCGAAAATCGGTTTGGTGTATATGCCTGGCTTGGATCATTTGGGCTTGCACTGCAAACCGCAAAGGTAAGCATGCCTTCATAAAAATAAGCACCAGCTCAGATATCGATTTGACATTAGTTTACATAGCTGTCAAGTAACAACAAATGTTTATCTGATTATACGAAAATATCAAAAATCTGAAACTCTTCATTTGCGGTTTATAACCAGAAATAATTTTAATTCAGGAAAAATTATCAGTTCCTCGAAAGCGATATCTTTGTCACGCATGTCCGAATGCTGTTAATAGAACAAAGAAATATTTTTCAAATGATTGTGACAAACTGGCCACCTTCTGTGTTCAAGATTTTTGGGCGAAAAATGTTTCTGTCATGGGTTTTTAATAATCCTCACGAATGAAATTCGATATAAATAATGAACTTAGATCCAAATCAATGAGGATAAGTTTCACTTTCTTATAAATTTTTATTGATCACATGGAAGAGATTTCAAAATCAACATTTGATATAATCAGATTAAAAATCTCACCTTTGATAAAGTCCTTTCCTTCCGAAAAATTTGTGGTTTATCCAGAATAAGGTCTGACTCTCTGAAATCTTTTGTACTTCGATTTTTCCGAAACACGAAATTCTAAATCGTCTGCGTTACCTTGAAATAAATATAAGTTATTTGAAAAGTGTAACATCTACGGGTTTATAGCTGAATCACCAGTGAAATAATACTTAACTGTCTATCAATCCTTGCTATCCCTCTCGCTTTTTCCGTGTGTGTTTCATTTAAATAAACTTCGGCAGCTGCTGTCACCAGATGCAAATTTCCCCACATCAAAATTTTGATGGTAGGCAATTTCGAAAGGACTGTAGGGTTCGTGCCGATCGCAAGAAAGCCGGTCTTTTTTGAAATCTGATCATTTAGTATATCTACTTATATTATCTCTCATTATATGGTTCCAGAACGATGCCGAATATGCTCTAACTGAATTTTAATGTTAGTTAAAATGCTTTTCACTTACCATTCTCTTCTCGATAGATCGACAAAAAGTCTCCAATTTGTTTTTGTTTTCTTAACTTCATCTTACTCTACAGGACTGGTATTTTTTTCAGTTCAAGAGAAAATGAAAGTACAAGGTTTCAAATATAAAGTATAATGAGTAAAACAACGACTCCATGGACAACATGAAAAAAATAACGTGTGAAATCTTATTAAAAAAAAATTTGTTCTATAAAATAAAAGAAAATAGAACAAAGTAAATACTGCCAATTTGACCATGCTATTTACTATTGATTCAATCTATTAAACTACAACTACAAACGCACCATCTCGGTACAAGTTCGACTTGGGTTCTTTGTTCACTCACTTGAATTGACTGCCGTGTTGGTCGGTGGTTCTAGCCCTAGTCTGAAGATCGATTTTCACTTGCTATCGTTCAACCCGTGTTAGGAATCACACGTTAAAAAGTAAGACCTCGTTAATCCGTAGCTCGCACAAGTTTGAACTCCTGAGGGTTGTCGTTCGTGGAGGTGTGACAGCTGGTTAACGGAAAAACAGATTTTAAACAGATTTTCTTTAATTGAATGAGTCGTTCTCATCAATCTTCATTTTCAAATGTTTCGTTTTGATCGTACATCTAATGAATTCTCATTTTTCAAAACTATATAGGCACACCTAGTATCTTACCCATTTTCGTTCAAATTATGATATGATATTTTACATATTTTTAAGATTCCGTTTACGACACAGGCACCATATTAGGAATACCGAATAAAAACAAATCACCAACAACAAACCGTATAAGGGGAAAAAATAAGTCCAATATGAACAAGAAAGGCAGAATATCAGACAACAAGATTGGACCTATTACACCAATCTACAAACTACTAACGAACAAGCTGATTATTTAACTGAGACTATTAGCAGAACGGTAAAACAGAATACGCGTAGCAAACGAATACGAAGACAAGAAACTGAAAGAAATAATTGGATCACAGAAGGACTTGTCATTTCAATTAATCATATAAACAGATTACATGGAGAATACAAAGAAGATATACATAACACCCCGAATAGAAAGAGATACATAGAATACAGGGCTTATACAAAGTAATGGAATCGGCAAATCTGATTTTCTATCAGAATTAAATACAAAACATTCAAAACGAAAGTGGAAAAACAACGAAAAGTGACAAAACAAAATTAGAACTGTTCAACAGTTTTTTTGTGAATGTGGGAAAACAACTCGCCGAATGAATAACAAATCCTACTAAAGAAATTCCAAAACAAGCTGTGAACACACATTTATTTTTTCTCAAACCGGTCACTGAAAACGAAATCATGGAAATAATAAAATCCCTAAAAAATAAAAAATCACCAGGAAATGTTAATATCAGAGCGGAGGAACTCAAGGAGATAGCTGTAGAAATTACCCCTATCTAACAACTCTAATAAATATTATATTCGAAACATCTAATGTCTCAATACGCAAACGCATTAAAGAATCAATTGGTACCCCCATATTTGAAAAAGGAAACCCGCAATTAATCAACAACTATAGGCCAATATCGCTAATATCAGGTTTCAGCAAGATATTCGAATCAAATACTAAACGCTAAGATAATGCCGTACTTCGAAAAATATAGATTGATTTCCTGCAAACAATATGGTTTTAGAAGAGGTTTCTCAACAAACTATGTAATAGCTACCCTGACAGGTGAAATAAACGATCATATAGATAAAAAACGACCTGCTTTGTGTGTATTTTTGGACTTAACAAAGGTCTTTGATACTGTTGGCCATGTCCAGTTTTCGGAGGCACTGGAGGGTTCTGGAATACGAGGAAAAACTTTTCAGAAGTTATTTGGTTGGTAGAAAAATGGTTGAAATAAATTATACTATCAGCTCACAAAGGGAAATTATCTATGGTATACCACAGGCAACTGTGATTAGACACATGCTCTTCTCAATATATACCTACTAACTATGAAAAAAGATGGTTCAATCTACAGTTTTGCTGATCACACGGCCATTCTTTACACCGACGATAATTGGGGTAGTTTGAAAACAGAGTTTGAATACTCGATATCAATCACCTTAAAATAATATTCTACGCCTTAGTACAATCTCGACTCCAGTATGCTATACTGAGCTGGGGTGGTATTTCAGATAGCCACCCCAAGAAAGCTGAAGTACTACAGAGAAAAATACTTGGAATCATGTACCACCAAAAAAAAAATACTATTGTTCTGATCAAATCTTCATTGACTCGAAGCTACTCGATATCAGACAAATATACATGTTCAACTCAATCTTGTATATCTACAAAAACAAAATGACATTTCGACCAATTAGACACGACAAACGCAACAAAAAACTCCATTGGTTAACACTCATACAAATACCACAGTGGGAAAATCTTCAACTTCTTACCAGATATGTACAAGACCTACATATATACAATAAATAATATTAACCCACTCAAAAACATCTTCAAAAAGTATGTACTCAATATTAATAGGGACATCGTTCATAACATTCTTATAAAAAAATAAAGACGACAATAGTTATCCTAAGTTCAAAATCTGTTATACTTTCCTTTTATACCGTTGCACATTTGCACTTCTAACTCAAATAAACCTATCAAAGTACCGTAATTTAATATTATATTTATGTTCATAATCACCTATTATATACTTCTATTTTATGTACAGTGCATTTCTTTAATGTCCCCCCCTTTAATTTTTTGAACAGGTCAACTCAAAAAATTTAAACTTGAAATAATGAAATTAATGCATGAATACTTCATTTTGAAGTGAAACTGACAGATTAATCTTTGAAGATGGCGATTGGGCACCATCTGGTAAAAAAAATTGAATGGAAAGGGGGGTCTTGTGACACATCTTTTTGAAGCTACTGACGAATGATTCACAATCCTAGAATATACATCTTTTTAAAGCTCCTGACGAATGCTTCACAACCCTAGAAAATAATGTCAATATCTTCAACTACTGGCGAAACTATAAATAGTTGCCTGATTACATTGACATTCAACTACATAATATGAGGTAATAAGCTTGAGGTCAGTTCAGAAGATGCTAGAAATGGTTGCCTTGAACTTCTTGACATATGAACAGCCTAGCCGATATTTCACGCCGAACAGTAACGTCAATATATCTACAAATATTTATTATTCTCTGCCGTATATCCAATATTGGAGCAGGTTCAGTTTCGTACACCTTTTGCTTCAAATTGCCCCATGAAAAAGTCCAATGGTGTCAAATCTGTTGAGCGGGCTGGCCATTTTGTAGGACTTCGACGGCCAATCCAACGACCGGGAAAAGTAGTATCCAAATAGTTTCTAACTTGTCTGAAGTGAAGTGGTGGGGCTCCATCTTCTTGGATTACAATATCCATATGGAATTCATTAGGATCCGCTTCGACGATTTCAGTGATGAGAGGGTCAACAGTAGTTTCGAGCATATTCAAATATAGTTCCTCTGTTGAACTTTGTTCAATAAATAGAGGTCCTACAATAAGGTTTCCTAATATTCCTGCCCAAACTTTAATTTTTTCTTGATATTGGGTATGTGTTTCCCAGAAAACGTGAGGGTTGGTGTCACTCCAATAACGGCTGTCGTACTGATATTTGTTGTCGTTTTTATAAACAAAAAATAACTTAAGAAAACTTATCGGGTCGTTGGAATTGCCATAAGGCAGATACAAAAGAATATTTCTAGAAATATCGATATTAATGTGTTTGTCTTCAGGAAATTATTAAATATCTCGCCATTTTGTTGTAGGTGGATATATTCACTTCATGTCTTAGGGTTATGAAGCATTCGTCAGGAGCTTCAAACTGATGTATCACAAGACCCTCCTTTCTATTCAATTATTTTTTCCAGATGGCGCCCAGTCGTCATTTTGAAAGTTTCATCTGTCAATTTTACTTCAAAATAAAGTATCCATGCATCCATTCCATTATCCCAAATTTCAATTTCTTGAGTTAACCCGTTCAAAAAATAAAAGGGAGTCATTAAAGAAATGCACTGTATATACAGTACGCTATATTGCAAATAATTATATTGTTTCTCAATTCAGCTCATTAGTTATGCATTTCGCAATAGGAGTCCCCACATAACAGTTTTGCTTTTGTTTTGTCACTTTTCTTTTTTTTGTCTTTGTTTGAACTGTTTGTTTGTACTTTCTGAAATATCTTTTCAACTTTTTTTCATCCATGATGAACAATAATATTTCAACTTTGGAACTGACTTTTTTTATCAATACCTAATCCTGAAGAAGCAGTTGAGATCACAACAGAACTGTAAACTCCAAGTATAATCCACCTTACGGATACTCAAATAAATGAATGTTCGTTAAGGTAGATAGAGGGATTCATTAGAAACTTTTTTACAAGTTCTCCTTATTGACCTTTTTGATTCGAAAAGAAGTATTTTCTGTAACTCTCGCTAAAAATGTATAATTTTACTTCATACATTCGAAATAATGTTTTCTTACTGGGACGGTAGACTGGTGGGTAGACGTGGGTGGCTTACTTTACTTATTCAATCTACAGCTCTGTGTGAACCGGTGGTTCGAACCGCAAGACCGGACGATCGATTTTCACTTCCTATCGTCTAACTCGTGTTAGGAATCACACGTTAAAAAGTAAGACCTCGTCCCTAGCTCGCATAAGTTTCTACTTTTGAGAGATGTCGTTCGTATGGGGGCAACAATTGGTTAACGAAAAAACATATTTCAACAGATTGTATAATCGATTACGAACTTCTGAGAATGAGAGTGAAAATTGTTCATTATTGATATTATCTTCAAATTTTTTCGGTGTATTGATATGTGTAGATGAAAAATATCATAAAAACTGTGCGGAATTTTATATCTGACTCAATATCATTATTTTCAGGTATTCTGAATATAATACTTTCAAATTCAGTATTCCAGTTCCTGGACCAATTTTCATACAGCATATATCTTTTACATCATGTGATTGTGAATATCATAGTCTTTTCTCAGAAAATTCCTTATTTCTATACAGCGATGAACGTGGTGAGTATGAGATGATTGTATTTTTTATAATGTCAGGGGTTGGCACTTCCATTGTTTGGGAAGTGATGATAGATCTGATGAGAAAACTGAGTGAAATATCAAAAAGCTAGCACTGAAATATCTGGATTTGTGAGTTAAGAGATGATATTGAAAATTGAGAGGAAAATATAATTCAAATCATCTATAAGAACAATTCGTTCAGGCCAGTCTCAACACCCTACACAGTAGGTTAATGGACTGACACCTATCAGAAAACAACTACTCCCCTGGCTAATACCACGAAGGGCGTTGGATTATATCCGACAGGTGTCAGTGCAGGATTCTTCACTGAAGTT